GCAGCATCTATCGATCCATATTCGAGGGGTTCCATTGTCTATCAAACTATTTCTACCTGGCTCACAAAAATGCTCCATGGCCTTGAGCTTGATCGAGCGTGGGATCGATCCACTTGCATCGCCACCGTACGTCGATAAAAGTCAAAGAGCCCGTCGTGGTCCAGCGACTCGAGCAAGATGTGGCCCGACTACTCGTTTTTTTGATGACAAGTTGTCCATCACATCCGAGAGGTCGTCGTACCCGGTAGAGCTGGCCACGCGCAAGGCCGTGCGATGCCTCGAGCGACGGACAGCACGCCAGTTCGATCGAGTTGATGACGCGCAGAAAGCCGCGGCGGATGCGGTCGCCGTCCACCACAGTCACGTCCCGAATGCACTACACATAATACGATCAATGTTTCAATGTTTCAATGAAAACCCGGGAAAATCGTCCGAAAAATACAGCAGACAAGAGTGTAATACCTCGAGGTAGCACGTGTCGCGCTTGGCGATCGCCCCCGGCAAGAGCTTGAGGATCGGGGTCTCGATCGCCGCCCAGACAATACTTGTGACCCGAAACGGCGACGACGACCGCTCCAGCGTATACAGCGTCACGCGGTCCAATAACGTTTGGCTCGCGACCTTGCTGTACGTTCGCACTTGCTTGGCGGTTTGGAGGTGGTAAAAACCATGGAGCTCGTCGTAATTGGTGGCAATTCGCGTCACGCCCGTGATCCCGTCGAGCTCGGGCTGGCGCAAGTCCGGGCCATGATGCAGCTACCGTTTTGTATGTGTCCAAGTTGCTAGCGACAACTTGTGTACCTGGACATGGCGCTTGGTGCGCGGGTGGGTTACCACCTTCTTGGGCGGCAGCTTGGCCATCGCAAGCGCGTTCGCAACCGTGTCGGCGCACGCTTCGTCCGCGATCGCCCGGAGGTGCTGCACCTCGGCGTCACGCAACGGTGGACAGCGGAAGAAGCCCGGCGGCAGCGGTAGACCCTTGCTCATCGTGAATTGTAAACTGACCCTCGCTTCGTTGCAGCAAGTTCGCATGTCGCAGACGATGGACCGTGGGATCTCTGGCCTCGGCGCGTTTGGGTGTGATCGATAGGTACATGCTTGTGTCGGGTTGTGTACTCTGCACCGCTTGCCAGGTCATTGGACTTGACGCCGCAGACGTTGCTGATGACTCTTGTCCGCTGCTCTGTTGGAGAGAGACGTGGCGCTGGTTTCTTGTGTCCGTGGGACGGCAGAGATGGACCATACGACGAGCTCGAGTTGGTGACAGCTATGAGCACTGTCGAGAGCAAGCCACGATGGTATTATAGGATGATAACCGTGTCGTTGTAGCGTTCGCGTTGGGACGTCCGAGGTATTCAGGGGCGAGAGTTGACGTCGGGTGATGATTTGTTGTCCTTTCCGTGGTTTAAACGGTAAACATCTGAGTAACGTCCCCAACACAACGACGTCCCCACGACAGAGTGTTCGGTCTCGTTGCGTCACCGCAGCACCGTCGCTAGACTCTTGGGCGCGAATATCTTTTATCGGATTCAGCAGTCGATCGATATACGCTAAATCTTTGAAACAACGAAGTGAACTGGTTCAACGTCTGGCGAGTCCGGAACGATCGCGTCTTTCGCGCCGACCCACCGCTGCCAAGTCCATGGGTGACTGCCGTCAAGGCGGCGCGTGTCGCTCAGCTGCACTTGCACCACAGCCTCGTTCAAGAGCCCGAGCAGCCTGCGCTACGTCGGCTTCCGCCCAACACGAGTGGCCGCGCCGTCACCTCGTCCCGCGGATCGCGCTCCTGCCTCCGCTTGCCTAAATCAAGCTCCTCAACCGAGTGCACACAACGAAGAAAGTCCGACAATTTTATTTCGCATATATATATATGAACGTGTTTTCGCGTTATCTTCGTTGTTACAAAGAGTTCGCATACGTAGAGACTAGCAATCTCCTTCTTCTTCATTCGCTCGCCGGCCGTGGCTGCGCAGGCGGCGGCGCGGGGCGCATCTTGTTCGTCTGTAGTCGCGCGGCGGCGTTTGTGGCCGCGGGTG